CTCGCCCGGAGGGCACGTGACCGCGCCCGGGCGGAGAAGGTGCGCGCGCAGGCGCGAGCCGCGCAGGGCGTGGCCACGAGGTTAGCAGTCCCGGGTCTCGGGAAAGGGGAAGTGGTCGCTCGCCCGGTACGAAGTTTATTTGCATCCTTCGCCCCGCCCCTTTTGCGCGAGTGGTGGAACAGTTAGAAGGGGCTGGATCAGGGCGGGGTGAGATTCTGCGCAAATTATGCCAGCGGCGACGTGCGAAGGGTATGCAAATAAGGCTATTTCCATGGACAGGTCCACCCTCTCAGAACCCAGAACGCGGCAGAAGGACGCGCGGTCGGGCCGGGGCGTGGCATGCAAATGAACTCATTTACATCTGAGGCCCCACCCCTCGCGGGGTAGGGCTGGCTGAGCTGTTGAGAAATGACTGCGCAGTTAATTAGGAAGTGTATGTAAATTAGCAGATCAGTAAGTAATTTACACAAGTTGGCTCCCTAACGGAGGAAAAGATGATACTTGACAGAAGAGGGGGGCGTGTTGAATGGGGTGGGTGCAAACAATCGTAACTCCCTTATCCCTGTCCCCTAGGGACATTTGTGGGAGTTGGAATAAAGTAACCTAGGAAAGCTACATAGAGAAGATATTTGCCTGACAACCAGGTGTCTGTATGAACATTTGGAGAGACAGACCAAGGAGGACGGTACAGATGAGGTTATTCAGTTGCCCAGCCCCCTCCACTTGGCAGGGACTGAGACTGGGAGGGAGGTGCGTTAAGAGCTGACTTGGGGGTGCTGGAGCATTGAGTGCCCTGAGAGGGCTGCAGCTGTCCCAAGCGGAGCTCGTGGGATGTCACCAGTTCACAGGGATCTCAAATATGCATGGGAGTCAGGGTTGCACGGAGGCCCTTTTGGTCCTCAGGGCACACTCAGGGTTCATGGCCATATGCACAGGCATCAAGAGAGCCAAACACACAACAAACACACAGACCTCGGGAGCACACACACCATCACACATAGGCATCACCTACCCTGGGCTCACAGAGACCCAGATTCTCCCTGTGGGAGGTCACCTGAACACCACCAGCCTCATGATGTAGGCATGGAGGACAGAGGAGGCACAAGTGTTACACGCAAGTAGCACACTTCCCTACAGATGCCACCACTGAGGGGCAGCTGTGTGAAATATGTGGGTCTCCAGGACATTGACACAAAACGTGCAGCGTGACAAACACCCTCCGTAACAGACCCGAGTCATGGTGTACCCCACACCACACTCAACCCAGAAACATGGCCCCCAAACACTGTGACATGTATTTCTCCCATCTCCCTCCCCGCCACCCCAGAATAACAGAGGCCAAGACACAGGTGTAAACAACGCTTTATATGGGTGGGGTATGGACAGGACAGGCCTCCAGATAATAAATAACACGTACTCGCAATGGCAGGGCCAGGCAGGAAGCTGGGGCCAAATGGCCCTGGTCTCAGGCTTTGGAAACTCTTTGAGTATGTAGGGGTTCAGGGGGGCCAGGGATTAGCCAAGACAGAGGAAGCAGCAGCAGGTATGGATTCCCCCTCCCCTCCATGGCTCAGTCTTGCCCCTCAGCCAGGCCCCACCAGGCTGGGGAAGGGGGACAGGTGGCAGGGCAGCTTCTCCGGGGCCAGGGCAGGTGAGGGGCATAGCCTTCCGGTGCTGGGGCCGGGGTCCCAGCTGGAAGGGCAGAGCTGGTCCTGGAGAACAGGTCAGCTGAAAGAGAAGTGTGTGGTGACCGCTGAGATCCTGGGTCTGTCCAGCTGGTGTCTGTCTCATTTCTGAGTAGCTTCCTGCCTGCGGGTCTATGTCCCTCTGGCCACACCATCATGTTTCTCCCAGTTTCTGCATGGTCTGATTTTCTATGTCTACAGTAAATTCGGGTTCTCCCTGAGGGTACATACATTTTCCGGTTGGATTGCCATGGAAAGCTGTCTTTTGATTCTGTACAGGGGACACTGGATGTCTAAATACCCCATTTTTGTATCTCTGGATATCCCTGTGTTCCAACATCACCGCATCTCTGGGTCTCATTCCAGTGTTTTCCAAACTGAAGAAACGATGTGAGTAACACAGCTTGCTTTGTCTAAGATAGCATTACCTGGGAAGTTCTAGAAATCCCATCATCACTTCAGAATCTCTGGCTCAGGCCCAGGTATCAATAGGTTCAATAGCTTCACCTTGACGCTCTCAAGGTGATTCCAATGTGCCATGCTGCATGACTGTGCTAGGAAATCAGTTTTGGGGGGGCTTAAACCTTGTCTCCCTGAAAGTGAACTAAACAGGACAGAAAATACCAGTGTGCGTCACAGATAATAATATTGGTTCAGGGATCTCCCTGGTGGCACAATGGGTTCAAGTGTAGCACTGTGAAGCTATTGACAGCCGCCTCAGCACCAGTTCAATCCCCGGCCCTGGAGGTGACCCACAAGGCACAGCAGACCTCTCCTGTCTCCTGCTGCTCCCTCAGCAGTGTACTTCATTAGTCTGCCTGTTCTGCTCCCCACTCTGTCTCTGGTGAATCCTCCCACCCCCCGTACCTCTGGCCTATATCCCAGTTCTGTGTGCATAAAAACATTAATCTTTAAAAAAAAAACAATGAACACTGGATCAGAAACAGAAAACAGGTCGGTGGGTGCCCGGAGGCTGGGGCGGGTGGGAGGGACTGCTTCACGGGTACAGTTTCCTTTTAGGATGAAAAATGTGTCAGGACTAGACAGACAGGCTGATGCCATAACCTTCAGAGTATCCTAAATGCCACGGACACACACTTTAGATTTATGTTATGTGACTTTCACCTTAATTAAGGGGCAGAGAGAATGTCAATGCTGAGATAACCCGTTGTGTTTCAGTTTTCTTTGTGTCTATCAAGATACAAAACAGGTTGGACCCCAACATCTGAAAAGCACTGTCTGTGCCCTTAATCACGGAGGTGATCCTGATGCAGCCGGGACAAACGCCACAAGTATGTGTGCCCAGCCATGGCCACACAGCGTGGAGTCTTTCCAATGGGTGAGAAGAAATATACAAAACAGTTTATTGAGTCCTTACTACAAGCTGGGTCCTGTCGTGAGCACATGACATGAATTAACATAATGGATCTGCTCAACACCCACATGAGGCAAGAACTATTATTAGTCCCATTTTCCGGGTGAGGAAACCAAGGGGCAGAGAGGTTAAATGATTTGCCCGGAGTTGGAGTTTAAACACAGGCAGTGTGACTCTGGAATCTATGATCTTTCACCTCCTTCCCTGCTCAGATGAGGAGACAACACTGTACGAATAACAATGATCAAGGGTACACACGGAATGCTTTTTTTAAAAAAAAAAAAAGGAGGGGGCTGCTGAGGTGAGACCACCCAGCTAGAGGGAGTGACTCCATCTGGGAAGCCAATAAAGGTTTCCTGCAGGAAGAGCCATTTTAGCAGAGACCAGATGATTGGGAGCTGCAAAGAGGGAGGGCAGAGCCCCAGCCAAGGTACAGCAGATGGAAAGGTCTGGAAGGAAGAGAGTGTTGACCAGAGGACTCCCTATCCAGGTCGCATTCACTGCATCAGGAAATCATGTTGGCTCTGACTTCAAAGTACATACAAAGTCTAACCACTTTTACCCCATCTTCCACCAAAGCCACCAATGTTGAGGAGGCGGGGAGGCCAGGGGGAAACTGGCAAGATGTACATCCCCCTCTCCCCGGAGAGAATCCAACCAGAGAGGATCCTGTAGGATCTTCAGGCCTGTCAGGGAATCTGAATAGAGCATAGACATCCTGGAGCGAGAGGAGGTTACCAGGGGAGAGAGGGAAGGAACAGCGTTCTAGCAGAGGGAACAGCATCGGCAAAGATTAGTATCTTAGCTGATGGAGAAACAGAAAGAACTTCAGCTGCAGGAGAGGTAGGAGCTGAGGCAAGTAGAGCTGGCAGGAACCAGTGGGGGAGCTTCGGCTACGCCCCAGGGAACCCGGGTGGTCTGGAACAGGGGAGGGACAGGATCAGAGCTGTGCGTTCGACCTGATAGGCTCCATGGTGAAGAGAAGCAAGATCAGAGAGAACAGGAAGTAAACAGAAACTGTTTCCTTCTCAGCCCCTCTCTACCCCACTCTGGCCCTGTCCAGCAATCTCT